CGGCTATGTGGCGGTAGCACGACGTCAAATATCCTCGGCATATAATGCTCTCCCAGCGATTCGCTCATCCTCGCCTACCCGTAGCGCCACTACATCATCCGATCAAGCCGGCGTGACGAACGACAGTCGCCAGAATCCGCCCCTGCCTGCACGAAGGGCAATATCATCTTACCCAGCCGCCGCCGCACGATGGGCCACGGGCTATGGCTACCCCGGTTCTGATCCTCTCGCAACAGCCAGCGATGGGAGTTACATCCCTCCGCCTCCGGGCGCTAATGCGCCATACGACAAGAAACTGGAGATCTGGCGCAGGCGATGGGCAAGGGCCGAGGAGATCATGCATGCGCGAGGCGTGGTGTTGAAGAAGTGGAGGATCGGTACGGATGTGATGGACGAGTGCGTTGCCTTGGTGAGCCGCGAGCTGGACCGGCAGGAAAGTCACGACCGAGAAAGGCACCACAGGTAGAAGTGATTTTATGTGGGCAGGTGATGACAGCACATGTCTCTTACGAACGCAAACACGAAAAAAGGGATTTTGGGGAGGAACGGTATAGCTTCGGGCTTCTTTTTTTCTTGGACGCACATACACATATATATATAAACAAAAGCCCGGCGTTCTCTATCTACCGGTGATATCAGCGTTGTCTTTTTTCTTTTCTCTTTTCTCTTTTGGCGGAGGGGTTTTTTATTTTGTATCTCCCCATACATACATCCAGCCAGCCAGCCATTGCAATACATTGATATATCGGGAACCATTTGCTTAGTCTTCTCTGCTCAACCCTCTCTTCTCGGGCGATGGTCTTCTCCATCGGAATCGTAGATGTGAAATAATAACAGCGGCGGCAGCAATAGTCATAGCTAGGACTAGTTCCGGGTGAGATACGAAGTCTGAAGTATGCAGTATGCAAGTATGTAGTATGAAGGACACTATCGTGCTTGTTTACTACAGAATGGTACTATGGTGCTACAGAAAGGATCAATTATTGAGTTGACTGGACGACTTTTACGGATAGAGTCCGAGACGGGAATGTCTCTCTATGTGCCTTACTTATGAAGTGATCTGATTTGAATTTTTTTGTCATATTATCGAATATGCCAAAACTGTACAAATGTTTTGATATTGGCACATGTCATGTACCGAATACTTGAATCTGTCCTCGTTTACTTCGGTGCTTGTTACACGGAACACGTAAAATTCGTGCCACATGTCGTAGAGTCCTAGGGTTTCCTTCCAAGAAGGCCTCTCCTCTCTCCCTCTCTCTCTATCCCTCCATCTGTGTGTGTGTGTGTGACACTCACATACATCACTTCTTCCCCACGGCATCGCCCGTCCCACCGCTCTTACTCCCGCCCTTCGCGGCGTCCTTCTTCGCCAAGATCGCCGCCTCCTCGTCCTGCAGCTCCTTGTCGATCCGCGCGCCGCGGCTGGGCTCGTTGCCGTGCATCTTCGCGGGCGCGGTCGGGTCGACCTCTCCGGCGCGCGTCTCGGCGCTCTTGAACTTGCCGGAGCCGGACGTGTCGTCCGAGGTGGATTGGGTGTTTTGCGGGCCCGACGCGGCCAGGCGGTTCGCTATCGAGCGGCTGTCTTCTGTTTGTCGCGGCCAAAAAAAAGGGATGTTGGTTAGTAAATGTCGTTCTGTGGATTTAGGGTACTTATGCGGGAGGAAGATAAGAGAGGGTCAATCAATCATGCATGGGGAGAGAGGTCGTAAGTCGTGGTGGTGGTGGTGGTGGTCGGTTGGTCGTGACTTGGGTCGAGGGAGTAAGAAACGAGAGCAGATGACGGCCAGCGCTCTGAAGAGGGAGGCGACAGGTTTCGCTGAGATTGGTATACAGAGAAGAGCAGGTCAATCGTCTCCTGCTCTAACCCGGACCAGTCACCCATAAAATCTCCCCCAGGTTCCCTCAGTCTGGGACAGCCGTCCTTCCTCTCACTCATTGCAATGCCCATCTCACCCGTCCCGACACCCCAGCCTTTGCTGTTACTGTTCGAACACTGGGTCCCATACCACCACCGACGAACCCTCCCCGACATGCAGACACCCCGGATAGAGCACCACAAAGGTCGAAACCAGCGAGCGCGTGGAAGAGGAAGAAATAACGAAAAATATACGTACTCGAATCATTTCCCAGATGAGAATTCTTCTGTCCCTCTTTATATGCTTGACTGCCGCCCTTTTGCGAGCCCGGCGGCACTCGCTGGTCACCGGCCTCATAGACCTGGCCGGGACCGACGTTGGAGGTGCCAGACATTTTTTGGTAGAAGTATTCTTTGGATTTGGAGGAGAAAAGGTATGGCGCTCTGGAGGAGGAGATATAACTGAAACAGCAATTATATCGATCTAGATCAAGGCTCTCAATTGAAGTTGCAGGAGACTTGTCGAGGTATAATACGCAGGCTCCGTCACACAGTCAAAGTACTTATTTCTTTCTTTGATAGTACAGAGAATTTTACAAACATACTTGAAATGATTGTTGTCATTTTGTGGTCGTTCGTTGCGTAGATGGCAATTCCCATCCCAAGCATGACATCACAATCTCTTCCTCTCCTGAACACTGGAGCCGCAATGAAGTCATCGATATCTCCACCTTGAGCACTTTTCAGGGGACGTCAACGCATGAATGGAGCGGATCATGACGCCGCGACCTCAGAAGGAAAAAAAGAATGGAAATGGCCCCTAGAATATGTAGTTGATGATCTTTGAGCCAGTGGGCAATATGGCAACTCAGCACGTGCTTCGTGGCGACTCCTATTGGCTTAGCCTCGCTGGGTAGGAGGATCTACACTTGTACAGGTAGACCTCTACCCATGAATGAGGACAGTAGGGAATAAATCTGTTGGAATGACCGGAGGCTAGGCATCCGAAATTGTCCTCTCTTGCGTCTTCTATGGTGCCCGCTCATCTCGTGGCGGGGACAGGCCATGTCTCGTCCGATCGCCGAACTTCGGCCTCGCGCGAATTCATACCACGCATGCCTCATAGCAGTTGCTCCCGGAAGCCAGCCGTCAGCTTGGCTTCCCCTTCACCCTGCGGCCAACGTGCCACCTCCCGCCGGTGAAGGAGGCCGGAGCTGGCTCTGTCGAGGCTCGAGACCAGATTCTGAAACATGCAAGTCACCGCTGGAAAGGGCGCTGAAGCCACGGCTCGCTGCAGCCCAGATGAAACATGACTCCGTTTTGTAGTGAAAGTCACTGTCCGGTGAATGAAGCGCATCGAGTGGCGGGCACGCGACCTGGTGCTGTAGACCATAATTCAGCACGCGGGATGCGAATGCATGAGCAACCACTCGTGGAAAGGAATCGTGGTGTGCTGAGGCCGACTCATCTGACTGTGCCGCCGATGTACTTAGAGCCCTTTCCATCTCGTCGGACTCCATCTTAGGGTCAGTGTTGTGATGCTGCAAAGGCTTTCGATCATCTCCCAATTGTCAACTGTGCAACCTCGTCCCTCGCAGCTCCAACTTTATCAGCCACATCGTAAAGGCTTCTCTGCACCTCACCAAAAACGTAGCGCAGTAGCTGCATCTGGTGGTCTTTCTCGCTGACCGTCCCACCGTCCCGATCGCCGTAGTTGAGTCGGTCATTCAACTCTCTCTCCTTGCCGGCGACTTTCCCTTCCAGGCCTTGGACGAAATCCTCAATCTCGGTCAGAAGTTGTCGATTGCCTTGGATCATGTCTTCCATCTCATCGGTCCTCGTATTGAATAAGTCAATCAAGCTCTTTGGGCCTTGTATCTCCTCCGCATCTTCACCCGGGAGTTGAATCTTATCTCCTTGAGCATGCCCCGCCCGGACACTCCCTCTCAACGTCTGAGGATTGTTCCACCACCCGCTGAGACCTGATCCACTGTAGACACCGCTCCCGTTTAAGTTCTCATTTTGCGTATGCGCAACCTGTTGGTATTGCCGGGGCATTTTTAACCGGTCGATGGCCCTGAAAACACATTTGGCTTCCAGCTCATTCTTTTTCACACCACCATCCCGTGCTGCCACAATCGCCTCCGCGTCGTTCCCAAGCCCAGCTTCGACCTCATCCAGCTTTTGACTCACAAAATCCACACTGTTGGGCAGCATTTCTCCCGCAGCGACCACGGTTGGAAGGAGATCTGCTACCTCGGAGGCGAGTTTGATCTGGTTGAGAATGAGGGTGTCAACCGCCTCGATTTCTTTTTGTAGGTCAGGCGTAAGCTGGTCGAACTTTGTGGTGGAACGCAAGTGAGCAATATCTATCTGCGGTTGGGAGGAAGGCGCTGCTGCGGATGCATTTGCTGGTTGTTGAGCGGTTGTGGACTGGCCTCTGTACAGAACAACTTTAGGACTTGCAAACAACATGAAGGCATTGCATTGCATTGGTAGTACTTACAAACCCAGGGGAGCCGGCGCGGCAGTACTGGCTCCCAAGGTCAGGACAGGCTTTGATGCTGAAGCGCCGAAGAGCGACATGATATCTGTTAGACTGTTGAGCGTGTCAACAGTGACTTGACTTCGAGGATGAGATTTGCTTTGGCCAAAATTCTTCGAAAGGTGAAAGACGCGATGCGCGATGGAGAAGTGCGGGTTGGGTAGTCTACACTACCGTAGGCCCGTAAGTACAAATATCCTATACGGTGGCGCATTAATGCCCTCTCTGGTCAACGCTCTTCTTTTCTGCCTTCAAATTTGTTCTATACAATAGCCTCCGATCACCATTTCAAGGGCCTGATGGCTCTGTCATACGAATGTAAATCTTCACATGGGCTCAAATTCTTGCTATCCTCCAGACTTGCTGTCATAGACAGGGTGTGCCGCCATGAATGACTTCACCTAATCTACCCGCAAAGGCAGCAGGAGAGTATTGGACATCGGATATGTTTCGTCCAAAATGTGTGGCAACTACTTTGCAAACTCCCTCTGACTATACGACGGGAGCCTCTCAACTTGCAGTGTCTGGGAATTACTTCAAAAGCGTCCAATGGTTAGTGCAGAATTGCAGTGTGTCCAAGGTTTCTATCCCTGACGAATGAATAGGAGTGCAGATGGGACCTGTCTGATTGCCAACCGTTCGGACAATGGTATTGACACTTTTGTCATGTGAGTAGATGCCACCATGATACTGACTACTTACTAACCAGCATGTAGTCCAGTAGACCTCCTCGAAGAAGCCACTGAGCCACGAATACTGTCACCATATTGCACCATACAGTCGGCAGAGTCCGTCAAGGCTGTGGTCGGCTACCCATTCTTCAACCTTCAGGACCCCTCCACTACACTGATCCTATCATCCATGAAAGATCATCCAATTCGGCTGAACTCTGCTCTAACTGGCCATCTGGGTGCATCTTATCCTCTTGTCAATCCCATGACTGAGGAGTTCATCAGTCCCCATGCCCTGATCTTCAGCAGTCAAGGTGATCGTATCATTGCCGGTTCAGAATCCCTCATCTCAATATTTGACGTATCTCGACCGGGGCAGGATCCAGTTTCTTCGAGATCCACCGGCCCCAAATGGAGGAAGGCGGTCGAATACAGTGGTGCTGTCAATATGCGAGGGATTGTGTCCGCGCTCGGCGTTGAGCCCACCAGTGGTCTTCTAGCAGCCGGCACTTACAGTCGCTATGTGGGGCTGTACGATTCCTTAGGCCAGGGCGACTGCGTTGGGGTCTTCTCTGTCAAAGGAACAGGTGCTGATTTGCAGATTGGTGGAGGAGGAATCACGCAGGTCCTCTGGAGTCCCTGCGGGAGATATCTTTACATTGCGGAGCGGAAAAGCAATGGCGTCATGCTCTATGATATCCGCAAAACCGGCCAGCTGTTGGCATGGCTGGAAGACCGAGCGGCGATGACCAATCAACGCCTGGCCATTGATCTTGTCAGCACTGGTGATCAAGGAGGCAACGAAATCTGGGCTGGTGGGCTTGACGGGTTTTTTAGAATGTGGAAAGACCCTCAAGAAAATGAAGGTCCTGTTGCACCTACTTTCGAGTTCAAAGGTCACGATGGTAAGCAGATCAGTTTTCCCGCTTCTTCAGACTCAGATGCTGACATCTGCCAAAGACGCTGTCTCGAGTGCAGTCGTTCATCATGGTGGTGGTGTGCTTGCCACTTCATCCGGTCAACGATATCTCGCAATCGAAGATGAAGAAGAGCGAGCGGAAAAGGTGATGCCAGGGTACAATCTGAAGATCTGGGAATTGTGAGATGTTTGTCATTGCCAACTATGGTCACGGATTGGTCTTGATATATTGACATTGCACCCGATCTGCCCATTTCTGTAACTTCTGAGCCATCCCAGTCGTAAGCGCCTATGTTGCAGCCTTCACAGGTAAACATAATCGAATGTACCATGAAAACGATGCTGGGGAGGATTGTATCGAGAGAGAGGCCTTGGGAAGTCATTTGACGCCATACTGTTCATGGACTAGCGTGGAAATGGTGATTGGCTTGACTCTGACTTCGTTGTTCTGTTCTCCTTTTCTTCGCTCCCTCATTGCATTCCACAAGACACAATGTATGCTTTTCTGTTCAGCATGAGGGCCTGCATCACATACGTTGCGGTTCTCTTGAACTTTGCAAGACTCACGACCTGGTATATTGCGATTCGCCTGTTCCAACCATCTTTTTTGTTTCGCGTCGTTCCTCGTCACCAGAAGTGCCCTGTGCTGCATCCGACCTCCCTCTTTGCTGTCGCGGACAGGCTCTCTGTTAGATGCATCACATCAAGCTGTTCAGTGATCTGATATCATAGCGTTCCTTTCCAGGTACTCGTTAGCAGACATGTTGATAAAGCTGTCCCGAACTGCGCGACCATCTGAGACGATGCTGTCGTTCTTGTCTTTAATTTTTCATCTTTCGTGAAGCAGGCATTTCATCACGCGCCCCATCAACGGTCGTACTTGGCGACTCTGTTGTCCGCTTGATTCGCTCTTCGTTAATCTTTATGAAACCTTTCACAGCTGCGCCTTGTCATTTTCTTTGTCTTTCGCCCCCTTGTGTTGTCCACCGTCAAGACAAAGACTTCTTTTCACACAACCCCAGCAACCAAGTTCCGAGCTCTTCGCAGAGATACCCTCAAGGCCTCGAGGTCCTATACAGGATCTCGAGGCCAGGCCTGTCATCTCCGTCATTGAGAACCCCGAGACTCTCCAACCCGCAAGTTTCATTTCCAATCAAAGACACCACTTCTTCAGATTTAAGAAGCAGCCCAGATGGTAAGCCAGCTTCAATTGTTTTTATTTCTCACTCAATCGGTCCAATTCGAGCGTCAGAAGCTGGCTGTCGATATGGTCAGACCGCCCTGCCCTCACGGTGAGATTGAGGCGACTCGATCAACTCTTTTCTGAAACGATCAAGAGGGTTTGGAGTGTTCACGTTTCAACTTCAATATTCCAAAGGAAGCAGCTCATCATCTCAGGTCAAAGTGACAGGAAAGAGTCGGGGTTATCACATGTCGCTGAAACTGGGCGAGCCGTGCCGACAATATGCCAGAGACCTGACGCGGCACCGTGTGCCATCGCTCTGTCACGATGCTGCTGCGTTTGAATTTCAAACATGGCAGAACTTCGGGTGGCATCAGCGACATATTCACTTCACTTCTCAAGCGACAAAATTCTTTGTCAGTGAGTGACAATACCCGAGTGACAAGGCATGCGCAGTGACCACAACAGCTTCCACATGTCAGGGCAGTGAGTGACGCAGTCGACGAGTTACTGCCGCACCGTCACCTGAGGCATTATTCTGGCCTGCCTTCCCATTGTATATAAAAATACGTGCCTTGGCACAGTGATGTGTGGGTTTTAAATATCTGATTCCTACTCGTCTTCAATCTTGCTTTTGTAACTAACCATCTTCAAGGCTTTTACTAGCGACACAATCACCCTTCTTTACCTGATAACCCAACTCGACTCCATCAGCCATGAGCTCTCCCCAGGAACAGGGTCACCACGATCCTAAGACTTGTCCCGAGATTCAAGAAAGACTCAACAGCGAAACTGCTGTTCAAAACATTCTTCAAGTGGCCCAGCAGATTGCCCCTCCACACCGAGGGGTCTCTGAATTTTTGAACCTCGACCTTGCCGATTTGGCAAAGTCTGCGGACCTGATGGTCGTTGAGGATGCAGATGGCCTGGATACGATCTTCGAGACCGCACTGCAAGCACGCATCTTTCGCCAGGCTCTACTTCCCAACAAGCGAGGTAGAGACACAACCATACCCAGCACCCAAGAACAGCTTCGTGCCCATGTCAAAGTTCTCTTCAAGGCATTCAAGTGTGTTCCTGAAGATTGCAGTTGCCAAGATGCCATCAAGAGACCTTTCCGAAATCAGATTCATGATAATTACCTTGTCGAATGTGTTTGCTGGGAGATTCTAGAGGCATGTATCGAGCGCTCAAGGAAAGATGCAAACCTTGTCGACGCATGGGAGCCGGGCAAGTTCAAGTACAAGCGAACCAGTGATTGGACCTTTGAAGAACGATTTGACAGCATTGTGGAGACCATGGCAACTTCCAAGACCATCTGCAAACACCTCTTCGATGTCAAGTACATGTTGAAAGTCGTCGACGACCCAAGGACCAATGCTGAGCGTGTCGAGGCGAATAGAAAGCTCAACGGCCTCAAGGCTCGAGTCATGAAGAGAGGCAAGGAAGCAGAGGCCGAGGACAAGAGACAGGTCAAACGTGTCAAGACTGAAGAGAGCGACGATGAGGAAGCAGAGGACGACTTCTCGCCTCCGCCTGTCAAGCAGGGTTCTCGACACAGTCGACAAACCTCTGCTGCTGCTCCTGCTAGGACGACCCAGCAGCCAATGACCACACCAACACGTCTGCCACTCCCTGTCTTCCATCCAGCATCTGCACCTGCAAACATGTCTATGACACCACCAGCCATGTTTCGACCTCACAACTCACAGAGTCTTCAACCAAGCCCGCTTCCACATCCCCACGACATCTTTGACAACGGTCCATATCGCCGTGCCATTCCTTCAGGGATGTTTGGCAATGTCCTCCGTCCACAATACTCGCAGGCCTATGGCCAGACAATGCAGACACCGTCACCAGTGCCACGGAGCGTCATGCAACAGTACCCACCGATGTTCGCACAAGGCTATGCGACAACTTCCGACGTTCGGTTTCGGCCACTTCACACCACACCCAGCTCTCGACCCACATCCAGTGCTTCAACTAACCATACCGAGTCAGTGACTCCCAGCGACCAAGCCTCAGCGCATGGCTGGCTAAGTCAGCCCGTGCAGGACAGCTTCGGGATCAACTCTGATTACAGCTCTGGGGCATCGACCATCTCTCTCGATCCTTTTGCTTTCTCGGCCGGTGACAATCCACAATGGACACACAGCTACGACTCCGGGCTGGGCGGCTTGACTGACGCTGCCACCACCTTTGGCGAGGACAGCGGGATCATGACAGAGAGACCTCAAGGACACGCCAACATGGCGGACATTCTTGCGCGGGAAGAGGCAGAGCACACGAATGGACGCGGTGGATCGACCGAGTCAGAGCACGAAGAGGACGGAGACTACGGCGGCGATTGACCCCGTCATCCCATCAACCTCTTTTCTTCAACCAACCGTGGCCCATGTGACTCAATATCAGTCTAGCCACAATAACCCGACGACACATCTCCCGCCTCTTTTCTCTCTCTTTTCTCCACTTCGACAATACTCCTCTCCACCCGAGCTTCCAATTGTACGGTACAGAACATGCCATGTCATGTTAGCGGTGGTATGGAAGGGATAGGATCACAGCACACACACACACACACACACACACACACACACACACACACACACACACACACACACACACACACACACACATATCACAGCCTCGCTGATAATAAACCAGCAACAAACACCCAACATTGACTCAGAGAGGGTCTTTCATTGTTGCGCCGACCAAGAATTCTTTGTTTCTCTTGCTCTCTCCCTTTGTGGGAATCTGTACAACAAAGAGTCATAGACAAAAGGGACACCAGGACCTGGAGGGATGGGAATGGGGAAACGACAATGGGGGAGGGGGGAATGGACAGTGGCTACAGAACCCACATTGTGTGCGTGTGTATTTTGCATCATTGGTCTTGTCCTTCCTTTTTTCTCTTATTTGAAGACAGAGTTCAACCTAGGAACGACAAAGGCTTGGTTGGGTATCAGTGCAGAGGAAAACGGACGTACGTACATACAGACACACATGTAATAATTATGGCACTGAGCGAGCGATAACTCGAGTGGGACCTGGAAAATTGGATTCGGATCCGAATATAAACTGCAGAAAGTGTCATTTTCTATTCATCATTCGACGATCTCGTGTCTGTGTGTTGTTGCGTGTGTTTGAGATCTGTGATTGAGATCGAGTAGGGGTGCGTTAATAGTGGTAGTACTACCGTAGTACTATTACCACCGTAGTATCCAGAAAAAAATGATTCGCTTTCATCAGATTATCTTCGTAAGTAACTACACCTGTTCAATGCAACAAAGTGCGTACAGCATCAGTATAAATCTTCATTAATGTCTGCGTCCATCTGCCCTTTTTCAATGCGTCGATCGTCTTCAAGCCTTCTTCCCCCCTCCCCCTCCGCCGTCAAAGCTCAGGCTATACCCGCCGCCCTCGCCCTGAACGACCTTGAAATTGTCCGTGCTCAGCCCAAACGGCTTGAGGATGCCGTTGCCCAGATCCTTGAGTTTGCCCATCATCTCGCTGACTTCTTTCTGCTTGGCCTCCTCGACCCGGGGCGGGAGGAGCACCAGCGCGTCACGGACGGTCTTTTTGTCCGACGCAGGCAGGATCTCCCAGTACTGCGGCGTGGAGGAGAGGGTCTTGTAGTCTTCCAACGCGGCGCTCAGGTTGGACCAGGTCGAGCCTGGTGTGGAGGAGGTTTTTGAAGGTGGTGTGGGTTGGTCTGACAGGGCAGACGTTTTTGAGGACGGCGACATGGACAGGTTTGACCTCGCGCGAGCGCGGCGCAGCAGAAGCTTGACCCGGATCCGCGTGATGTCTGCTTTTCTCGAGTCTGAGAGCTGGAGATTTTTCAGTGCGGCAGATTCGTCCTCCTCGTCCGAGGGAAGTTCGACGACAGTGTCGTCTCGTTCCCCGGCCTTCCCCTGGTTTGTAGACCGCGATGGCGGCGCTCCTTCGTCTTCCGACTCAGTGTCTGAGTTTAACCGCCCGGCCCGACTCTTGCTGTTGGTGTGTCTGTCCGACGACGATCCCTTCACGCCAGTGCTCTTTTTTGTGCCTTTCTTTGTCTTCTCTTTTCTCTTGGTCGGCAGTTCTCGTTCCAGCCCGTCCAAACCCCTTTCGCAAGTCTCGACCGCGTCCTTCCATTGTTCAAGCTTCAAGTGGCAGGCCGCGATGTTGCTTTGTAGCACGGCCATCTCGTAGTCCAGATACCGCGGCAGTTCCGCTAGCGCGCGGTCGTAGGTCTGGATTGCGGACTCGTAATCTTGACGCGAGAAGAACGTATTTGCCTGTGTTTTCAGGTCGTTGGAGAGCGACACCATGCGAGATTCCTCCGCCGGGGAGAAGCGGTCTTGCTGTACTGAGTGGGCGGAATGGAACGAGGTGGTAGACGAGGTCGAGGAGCGGCGGGACCATGATGGCGGATTGGGATGCGCTTCTGTCGGAGAAGAAGATGGCGGTGGTTTTACTCGCTCAGGACGAGTCTTTGGTCCTTCTGCTTTGAAGGACATATCTGATTTCCGCCACTGTATGAAATTACCTCGAACTGTGCGAAGGGATGATCTCTCTATCGTAAAGTACCAGACCATGAAAGGGAAAAAAAAAGACAAGGCTGAAAGTGGTGCTCGACGAGGCTGTCCACGCACCCCACAGATGACGTTGCATCCTCGTGTTCGGGAGCTGAAACCCCACCAAATCCAACCTTGATCGAGATAGACGGGCAAAATCCAAGATCCGTAGGAGGAACGGGGTACATGCAAGGGGGTAGTATCGACATTCGACACTGCAGGTACAAAAGCTTGCGAGGTCCCTCGATGCAACTCTCGCCCTTCCCCTCCAGCCCCTGCCATTGAATTACAGATTGTGTCTGATTCGCGGTTGTCTTCCCCTCCACAACATCAGAGTCCTTCAACATGGCGCCGGAGAATAAAACTTCAATGCAACCCCAAGAGTACGTACCTCGCAGCCCTCGCATACCGCCTGCGTGCGGTTTCCTGTATGAAAATGCTAACCGCTGACTAGCTTCCAACCCGTCCGTGCCTGCATATTCGACATGGACGGCCTCCTCATCGACTCCGAAGACGCCTACACCGTCGTCACCAACACGATCCTGCGGGAAAACGGCCGTCCCGACCTGCCGTGGAACATCAAAGCACAGCTCCAAGGTCGACCCGCGCCCGCCGCCGGGAAGATCTTCCACGAGTGGGCCCAGCTCCCCATCTCGAGGGAGGAGTTCATGCGGAGGCAGACAGAGTTACAAGCCGAGGCGTTTGTGAATTGCAGGCCGCTCGCGGGTGTGGAGAAGTTGCTGAGGAAGCTGCAAAGAGCGCACGCAAAGAGCGACGGGGCGTCCGTCTCCCCGGACCCGGCGAACAAGAAGAAGGTTCACATCGCATTAGCCACAAGCTCACATGCGAAGAACTTTGAACTCAAAACGAGTGGGATGAAAGACCTGTTTAGTCTCTTCCCTCCCCGACATGTCATCCTGGGCGACGACCCGCGGATACCAAAGGGGAGAGGAAAGCCCCTGCCAGACATTTATCTGTTAGCATTGCAGACCATCAACGAGACCCTAGCCATAGAAGGTGAAGGAGAACGACCAATCACGCCAGACGAGTGCCTTGTCTTTGAGGACAGTGTACCGGGGGTAGAGGCCGGCAGGAGGGCAGGGATGCGAGTCGTATGGGTCCCACACCCGGGACTACTCGACGTGTACAGTGGGAGAGAAGAGGAAGTCCTTGCGGGACAAACCGGTGAGCATAAAGAGGACGATCTAGACCACACCGAGGGCGTTCCCCTCATGGGCAGTCCTGGGTATCCAGGGGAACTTATGGACGGATGGGCAGAGACGCTGTCCTCGCTGGAGGAGTTTGATTTCTCGAAATACGGCATTGAAGTTGGCGATGAGAGAGACGCCTCAGAACACAGTCAGCACACTGCCGACGGCGGCATGACGGACAAGGAATTGGAAGAAATGACGGCGTTGGCAGACGGTAAACGCCACGCTCCGGAAGAACCATCGCCTCCGCAGATTCCCAGGACGAGTTTATGATGGCACTCGGGTGTTAGAATGCAGACGAAGCGTAAAAGATAAAGAGCAAGGATCGAGCATATCAAGCGTGTAAAAGGCAGGAAAGGTATATATTGATCGCATTCCAAGATTCAACCTGACCTAAGCAATGGCGTCTCTTCCGATGCTTCCTGTCCTGCTGTTTCTTCAGGCTCGACACTAGAATTGTACTGCATCCGCCTCTTTAGCTCCTCCTTCTCCCTCCTCCTCCGGACAATCTCGAAATAGCTGCCCATGACCAGCAACGTGCCCTGCAAACACCCAGTCACGAGGTAGACGCCCCAAGCCGACCATCCTTCCGGCCCCAGCCTTGCCGCAAGGCTAGCAGCCCAGACGAAGCTGCCGGGTGTCTGAATGCACATCATCGGTATACTCAGACTCCCCACTCTCTTGAGATTGAATGTGGTATATATCTGTGGAAAGTACTGGATGCTTGCGAGCACGGCGGACGATATACCAAGGAAGTTGGCCCATGATTGTGCATGGAGGGGCGCGGCGTAGATAAAATAGAACGACAGGATCGCTGTCACCGCGGCATGCAAAATGCAGATTGCCACAACGACGAGAGCCGTGCGGTATGATGGGGCAAGGGGTGCGGTTTTCTTCACCGGGGACAGTGGAGCAGCGTCTGGTGCGGCGGAGTAGGCGGGAGGGCTGGGCTCGAAGCTGCTTGCGATGTCCTCATCGAGAGGTGTGGGAGGGAGTTGGTTCCGCGGAAAGAATATCAGAAACAAAAGTAGGCTATTAGATTCTTCGTGTCAGTGTCTCGCTCCGACGCCGAGTATGGCTTGGACCACAAGTTTGGAGGGCAACGGCAGAGGTTGTTACTCACATGACTCCGAAACAGGACCACTGCACGCCCACCTGTGCGATCCCCAGCAATCCAGCCAGACAAGCAAATCCATCCACTTCACGGCAACAAGCGACGTCGGCTCGCGATCTCGGGAGGACAAGGATGTTCGCAAATGCGCAGGTGCCGCTGGTGGTGCCTAGCAGGACGAAGTACGGAGACAGTCCGAAGGAGGAGCGCAGGCGGATAATGCGAATATGTTGCGGGAGGTAGGATATCAGGATACCGATGAGGATGAACCTATGGAGAGCGGGATGTTAGAGTCGGGGGCGAGATCAGATGGGACTGGACGGGTCAGGGACAAGACGAACAGAGAGAGGGCGAAGTTGGTGTAGCTGACTCGTGCGATTTCCTCGCAGTGCGGCTCCATGGCGGAAAGCATGGACTTGACAGCCTGCGGCAGGAAGACTATTGTGGCGAAGTCATCTTGAGTCCTTTGGGGTGGTGAGGCGATGGAAAGTGGTGAACGGGATGGTCGACAAGAGCAGATGATGTTGATGTTCCGAACAAGGCTAGGCATCCATCATCCCGCGTTAGGAGAGCAATTGGTGCTGCCCTATTGTCAAGGAACGGGAACTGCTTCCACTCCAGGTGCGCCAGCAGCTGTGGGGGCAGCTAGCCTATCTAGTCATAATTGCCGGAACTCTCTTTTGGTGCCAAGGCGGACGCTATTAACAGCGAAGGCTGACCCAGGGCTTGCCTCAACAACACCTTTGTTAATATAATCTCGCTTTCGCAGAAGAGATGGGCCGTTCGATTGGAATTTAACTCAGAGGTCCGTGTCGCGATCGACAGGAAGCAATGCAGAGGCTGACACAATGACTGGCGGTTTGGCACGACCGCCAGGTATCTACACCGTCGTGGCCTCTCTCTCTCTCTTCTTTTCTTTCCCTCGGTTCGTCTTCTTGTACACAGGTAATACACAGCTTTGGAGCTTTCTCCTCGCCCGTGTGCTATCCTGTCAGAATTTGTGGGACTTGTTCCTGGAGACAAGTTTGACCAAAAGCTATCTTTTCTGCAACACGCCTCTCAGGTGAGTGGTACAAGATTGACCAATGCAACTATGACGGCTCCAATGCTGGCCTAGATGTGTTATGTTAGTTGGCTGTAGCAAGACCGTGAAAGCAACAGCATACCTTTATACCCCCAGCAGTGAGAGAGTTTGCAACTCCAGCGCCTGTAGTCGCAGAAGCCGAAGCTACAGCCGCGGTATTTACGGTAGTAGCTCCAGCACCTTTTGCGTCACAATCATAGGTCCTGGGGCTAGAGGCAGAAATCCGCGTGTTGTAGGTTCCAGTATAGTTCTCAGTAGGGACAGTCTGTTCGTAGGCGTCACAGCTAGACAGCCATCCTTTGTACAGGGGCCTATTCAGGACAGAAGAGAGGCTGCAGTAGCACATGGAATCATAGCTGTCTGGTGCTGTGGCGATTTCTCTGGTCGGGCAAACGGTCAATAGCACATCGAACAGGCTGTTGCAAGCTTGACCGTTGGGATCAGTGGTTGGGGTGTCAGAAGCGCTTTCGTAGGCGCTAATCTCGGACGAAAAGGAGCTCACGATGGAAGCAAAGTAGCTGGACAGGCCGTCAGAGTCCGTCGGGAGAGCGGTGGATAAAGTGGTAGGCGCTGGGGTTGTCTGTCCATCTATCCCCAAGAGTTAGCTTTTCGTAGTTGTGGTCAACGGAGCGATGGAGTAGAGTTGTCGCCTACGAGTGCCAATGCTGAAAGTAAGGAGAGAAAGAAGAATGGCGATGTTAAGATACATTGAGAGTATAGAGAGGCACCAGAGAAGGAATCCTGGCCACGAAATCAGTAAAAAGTGGACAGATAACTGTGAAATTGCATCTTCAAGACTTTGAAGATCAGAAAACCAGAGGAATGGGCGTCTCTATGACTGGGCCAGAGCCTCACAGACGACAAGTCCACGATCTGCTCGCTCTGGCTGCGGAAACTTGAGAAAATCCAATGGTAAATCTTGGATTGGGGCAAGGAATACCCAATAGAAGATGCACATGTGTTTTGGGACCTTTGTAGTTCGAGTTATTTCTTAGGCTGACTCTCGTCTAAGAAATACGAAGTTCACGTAAATATGGGCTCCCACTCAGGACTTCTCCTTTACCGACCAATCCCTCTTGCTGGAGCCCACACCTACAGTGACTTCTAGACCTTTTGGGGTTAACGGAGTTGGGCATCGTTCTTCAGGTGAAGCCAAAGGATGGCAGACCTTGACAGTAGTCTGTTTCTGCTCAACCCGACCATGAGGCTGAGTCGGCAATAATGGCCCAACAGCCTCGGGTTTTCAAAGCCTGATGTAGTGGTTGCTTTGACCAAGGCGGAATAATCCTTCAAAAGCAACTGCTCGTGTTGTTGTCGTTCAATCACTGAAACTGCTTCCTTGATTCCTGTCCTCCATGACATTGCACATGTATATATCGAGCCACTAATTGACAGAGAATGGCACCAGCCTCACTGCCGGAGAACAAAGCCTTGCTACCAAACAGCAACACCAAAAGGTACGGCATCAAGGTAGACAAATATCAACAATCATTTCGCTAATGATGATGGAGAGGGTCTGGCACAGCGAATGACCCGAAAGCTGCTCAAGGAGCAAGCGATCAGCGCAGAGACAAGCGAATCTTTATAAACCGCACTCTTATATGCATCGTTGTACCCCCTGCAATTCTAGCATACTTCATATGGACGTATCTGACGTGGCTACGACCCGGAAGCAACGTCGCACTTGGTACAAGCGGAGTCGTTCCCAATGCCCAATATGTTTGGTGGTCTTGGTTCGTCATTGGTACCTTTGGGCTGAACATCTCCAACTACTGCCTTGCAGGGCTGGAACCAGCCTTGTTGGATGCATACTTTGCGAGAGCTAATGCCAACAACGAGAAATTGATTTACCACCTCGACAAGTCATGGAGTACGATCGTTGCTTGGAAGATCGTCGTAAGGTGTCTCTGGGATGCACTTGCAAACTGCAAGTGGCTTCGAGGGACCCCAGCAAGCTCAGAAACCCCAGCAAAGAGCAAGAAGCCGATGCCAAGTAGGGTGTGGGTGATATTGTTCTGTCTCAGCGTCCTGTCCTGGACGTTTGTGTTGTCCGGTTTGGCCATGAGCGTGACGACGGAGTTTGTTCGAGGCCAAAGTGCAAATGCCCGAGTTCTCGGAGTCAATGAAACAACCATGAACACTCGGAACCCACCAACGGTATTGGATGCGGCGTATCAAGGTTGGCGGTACGGGACTCCGGCGCAGATCCCGAGTTGGGGATCCCTCTACACCGAGTCGGGAAGCACACTCCTGACCAATTCATCCACACCCAATACGCTCCCTGCGGATGCCAGCCAGGGAATTTTCCTGGCCCCGCAAGCTGCAATGCCTGTTGTGGGCTCGGCCTGGGGTCTGCTACTCAAGTATAGTTGCACCCCTGTCTACCACATGGACGAGTTCAGCATCTTAAACTATCGGATCAATTCGACCAGCCCACGCTATGTGACTAACTACACCGCCGTGCCTGCTGATTTCGAGTTTATGAATTTCGGCAATGACACGGCCGGGTTGTACTACGCCAATGCCCTGGGGAATGCTAATTTCTACTATGACCTGGACATACTGTTTGGACCGTGGGCCGCCAGCCCTTCGATCAACGTGTTGAGCCAATTACCGACGTACGGCGGTGATGGCACAAGTTTGAATGCACTCGGCTTTGCAGAAATTGGCCTCATCCGAGGCATCGAAGACCTCGAAGACCTCAGTCCCAGTGCAGGCGTCGGCTACAGCCTGTACCCATTTCCGGACCAGGATGGGAACCTTCAGCCGAGTTACAATGGATTGGAGGACGTGGACTTCTTGGAGATCCTTCTGTGGCAGGGTGCATATGACAACAAAATTTCCAAAGTGATAGAACATCCCATACGAGGACTTTGAAAAAGAACACCATTTTCAAGGAAAGGACTTGCTCGCTATCGGCATACAGTGCAAGTCCTCCTCGGTGGCCGGCCGTGCTGACATCAATGGGCTTACTGGCACATTCAGCGACTTTAGTCGTGCCGACTCGAAGGCTTCTTACTTGGTCGACGTCCCTCGACTCGGCATTGGAATGCCGGCCATGCTTCTCCCGGGCATCAGAAGCAATGCTTCATATGACATATACAATTTTTCCTCTCTCACAACACCACTGCCAGTGGAATACTACCCTGGGGGGCAAGAGTACAAACTGATGGGGACCGATATCGAGTGGTTAGAGCCATTGTTTACGGCAGCGGACACGCCTGTTGAATTGAACCTCACAGGTTTTGTCACGTACACGAGACTGATGCAGCGTGCCGATCTCCAGCGTGCGCTTGAGGAGGCATACAAGCACTATGCGCTGGCGCTCATGTTCTACGGCCAGGAAAACACGGTGGATGAATGGCCCAACCCCACGCTGAATCCAACGGTGAAGCGGCCCATTCTTGTCGACGGCGGAGGTGTTCCTCCACTGCTCGTTCTTGTACTTTTTTCTATCTGGGCGTCCGGCTGCCTGGTTCTGGGGCTTGCCTACGGTCTTCGGAAAAGGCACAGCGCCACTTTTGACACGCTTGCCTTTTATCATCAGTTTCGCGAGCTCCGAAAAGCTGACCGTGAGCACATCTTGGGGCTGTCGTCTTGATCCGTCAGTACCAGGGACTATGTATTGGGCAGGGAGTTCAACGCTGGAACTCCTCGACATCAGACACTAGCATATTGGAAGGGGGAATAGTACTACTACTACTTAGTAAGTGAGGATCAAGTGAAGCAGTTTGTCGTACGGGTTTCCTACAGGTCGCCGAAACTTCCAAGTCACTATACTAGTATCCCGAGGCGTTGGGTTTCCCACTATCGTCAGACGTTACATAGGAGTGAGGAATGAAGCAGTGATCTTTATGGCCTCAGAAGTCCGTGGCGCGGTTGCGAGGAAGCAACGCAGAGGCTGAGGATCCAATCTTTACGCCTGTGCCAAAGGGAAAGGCTTTGGCAAAAGATGATCTCCCGTATCTCCCATTACTCCTCACAACTACTACTCACAGGATCCTTTCGAGCACAAAGAGGCTTTATCTCAGCTCCTTCTCCGTCAGGGCCCATACTCACTGGCCATGGCCAGCGCCACCTCCTTGACTCTGCCTGTTCGCAGCCTCCAGCATCTGCTGCTCCCTGCGCAAACGCGCGATCTCCCTCTCGTTCGCCTTGATTTTTTGATCGCGCTCACGGCGCTCTCTCTCCTCTCTTTCCTGATTGGTCTCCTTCCGGGTCGAGAACCATGTTGCAAACGTGCCGAGACATTCTTTCACCCGTCCAAACAACATCTTGAACTGGTCGGTGATGAAGTGGGCGCCGAACATGATGTCGACCAGACCGTCGATGGCATCGCAGACGAAGAAGTTGCGCCTGAATGTGACGGACGATCCTTTGACCCGGAAAACCACGTCTCGGAGCACTCCAGTCACTGGGGTGAGGTGGCCTGAGATACTCCGCAGACACGGGTCGACGAAATCCTCCGAAATGTCCTGAAAACGTCCGATCTCTTTGGCGTATTGGGACGACATGATTAAACCACCTGGGACCTTGAGTCCAGTGTCGAGATTTGCGAGCGCTGGCGTTTTGAGGCTGCCGTTCTCGTCTTCAAAAAGACATTCGCGTCCATCGAAGATATCCTAGTCAGTATTGTTAGCCAGGAAATTCATGTCTTTCCCATTGGGATGCCCACCGTATCGGGCCTTGAATTAAAATCCGTCCAGAATGCTTCATTTTTGCGTTTGCCCCGACCTCTTCGATTGTAATACCGATACTCGCTCCGTAAATTGTAGCACAGGTAGAGCCCGTGACAATTGACAAAACCAGAAGAATCACAGAGTTTGCAGGTGGGGAGGGCAGCAAGGGCTGCCCGAGTTTCATACCAAAGTGGTTCGTTGCTATCGTCAATTAAGAAAATGGTGTCAAAGGTCTTGAGGAATGCATATGGTTCATCAGGTTCCGCACTCGTCAGGGGGGCGACATATGGACGTTGAAGGGGATCTAGACCGGGCTGCAGGTGGTATAGACCCGATTCCATGGCCTCCACAGAATGCTGGAGAGCGCTTGGTCTAGTAGTTGTAGTAGTAGATGGAGATACACAGCGCCGACAAGGTTACTGTATTGGGATCGTGCTGTAGTAAGTGGCATTCTCAGCTGAAAGGGAAGTTGAAAAAGAGTTTCCTGTAAGGCTGTATGTGTTACGTGCACAGCCTCACTCGAGTCTGCCATGGCTCGGCTACTAAAGTACTAGTGAGGCAGTCAGAAGGCAGCGACTAATCCGAATGGGGGAGTTGGTCTCAACAACCAGACAACACCATAAAAGGGAGACAAGTTCGGTATTCGCCATACGGGGTACTGCTAGGAGTAAGTGCTTGATAGAGATGGAGGGCTACACAAAAATTGCCAGCTTCATGGGCAAGCACCCCGAATCCGCTCAGGTTCTGCGTTTCAGTGACTTGAATCTGCAAAACATCCTCTACCTCCAGGCCGAGATATATGGGCTGCGAGAAGACCTGCGGAAAATCGAGGCCCAGACCCAAAATGCCCCGTCGGACGATTTGAACGACTTCGCTCTGGACTGGTTCACGTTGGCCAGCACTCAAGACGAAAACGGCAGAGTCAATCAACAATGGCAGAAATTCCTGCAGCTGCGGCCACTGTTGAAGGAATACAGTATCCATGCCATTTCTTGCTTCTGGCTCTTCATGCTGTGATTGTTGCGTAGCAAAGACTGACGACAGTGATGACAAGATGAAGCAGTGATACAGTACCACCAGATGTCAGAAATGCCGAAACCCAGCACCAACGACTTGGCAGGGTTGCAAGAATGGCTGCGAAGGCCAAGTTTAGGAGCCATCTATCTCACGGGTCGGGATCGAGAGGTGTGGTCTCAGGGGACGGACCTCGTCGCCATCGCAGACAGGCCACGCTCGAACCGATTGAGGATTTGGATTGCAGATTCCCTGGTCCCAACACTACACAGTATAGGACGACATCTTGTAAGTGTTGTTTGTAGACCGTCTATCGCTCCTTTGATTTTCTGTGCCACTGACAAGTCGCCGCCTCCCAGAGGACAATTCGTGGCGGCAACTCCGAGTTTGGCACCAACTTTGCAGAATATTCCGACACAGCCATCACCCAAGCAGCGAATCTGTTGGGGACAGTGCTTGCCTCGCTCTTGCCGGTTGTTGCCATCATCGTGCTTTACCTGATAGAAGGAATAGGCATCCGTCTGGGACTGGTTGCCGTCTTCAGTGCGCTTTTCTCAACGTGTCTGTGGGTTTTGAACGATGGGAGATTGATCGAAGTGTTTTCAGCAACTTCTGCGTGAGTCGACCATACTACATACTACTATTAGGGCATGCATTTAGCTAAGAGTTGACAGGTTTGCAGCAGTGCAGGTGGTCTTTATTAGTGTGAGTGGACAATAGTATTCAGTACTACTTGTTGGAAGGACTTTCGGATGTACTTTGTACTAGTAGTTGTTGAATATCTGGTACTACTAATGAAGCATGGAAACTATGATCATATTATCAATGCGGCATGTCCCTGTTTGGGTGACATATTTCTTTCCTAAATTGGCCAAGATCGATCCAAAAGCTGCTAAACCCAATTGGTATATTTTCGTGTCGCGTTTCACCGTGCACAATGCATCTAATTTTGTGGCAAAGGTTCTGTTATTTGCATGGTATGGGTAAGCCGGCCAATCACTGGTTCCAAGACTGGAACTTTGAAATACCTACATTCAGTGTATCGATAATCTCTGGAGACATGCTGCACTCGGTGAAGGTGACCACTGTAGGGTCCGGAGAAGCACCGAGAGTTAGTTAGTACTTAACAGAGTCCCTCAGATAGTTTGATACTGTAGATAGCGTACATCCGATTACCAATGTAGTATCAATGATTGGCAAGTTGTGTTGTGGAATCTCCTCCGTCAATGGGTCATCTTGTCTGAATCCCATATACCAACCACCCGCCGACTCAGGTAAGTGCACGACTGAGTCCGTGGCTGGGTGGATGGCTTCATAATACTACTGACGAGCTAACTTCAGGCTGCGTTCAAAGTAGCATCAATGCAGTATCAAACAAATAGCATTTGGTTCCTACGAGGTTTAATTCTCCTGTATGGTACCAGTAGTACCTGGTTACGCGGGAGACCCCTTTTTCCTGTTGAAGCAGGTTGACTTTGTCTAACAGTGAATGCTACCAGTAGTGGGTACCAAGTAGGCCGGAGCTGGAGAGAAAATCCCAAAATGGCAATATCATCTGGTTGTGTATTTTTGCGCCTACCACTACTACTATAGTTAGTTGCCTGATACTGCTGATACTGTGTCTGATGCACATTGGATGCGTTTCAGATGCATTGATGCCTTCGTCAATGTATACCTAATATCCAGTATCAAAGCTGCACCTAGTGGTATACAGCAACATCAAAACCACATCACAATTAGATCAGAGGGGCATCAGAGCAGGAGCATCGAACTCATTTAGATATCATACTTACTAGTAGTACTAATAGCTTTGGCCTATCTTACACTATCTCCCAAGGACACGCATCAATCTGCTAGTCACACACAGCTCAGAAAGAACTTTGCCGAGGACGAGACAGCAATTTGAAATTGAACTTGTACTACTAGTACTTGGTAATCAACCCGCACCGAGGGTCTAGGATGTTTTCTTGCTACCAACAACAATTCAAGTACTACTAGTAGTACTTCTGTTAGTATGTATATACTTGGTATGGCTGCAACCGAGCCGAGGGTCTGGATACCACAGCCGCGGGACCCACGAGAAGCCATCCCACGTAACCCCGGCTCCTCCCCCGTACTTAGTATTTCCGAATCGGGTTCCCCGCCCTTATAGTACCTCCTGGTGCAATTTGCTTTACTTACTTCCACAGCGGTCTTATGACTCGGCGGACAGTGCGCGCAATGACACCTCCAACGCAGCGGAAATACGACATCGTGGTCTTCGGGGCCAACGGCTACACCGCCAGGTTGTACGCTCAGTACCTCGCTAAGCATCCCATTCCCGGTGTCCGGTGGGCGCTCGCGGGGAGGAATGCCGCCAAGATTGAGGCTCTACGAGACAGTCTCAAAGAGGAAAATCCAGACTGTCAGATAATACCAGGTTGGTACTAAACAACATCCCATCCAATCTCTTGACTGGTACTTATTTTTGAGGCCGAATTTACTAACTAAAGTGATTTTTCTAGATGTGCAACAATGTTCTCTCTCGGAACCCGATCTGGACAGTCTGACCAAAAGTACAAAAATCCTCGTCAACGGCGTCGGTCCGTACTCGACCTATGGTGAACCGGTGGTCAAGGCGTGCGCAGAGAATGGCACCGGCTACTTCGACTGGTCGCCAGAGACCCCTTGGATCGAAGAGATGATTGAGAAATACCAGGACATCGCAAAAACCAATCGAGCGCGCATCATCCCTGGCATTGGCAACTCCAGCGGACCGTCTTCGATCCTGGCGCACCTCGTAGCAAAGGAATTCCAGACCAGGTACGAAACGCCAGCGAGAGAGATAATATGCTCGTTTTACATGAAGAACATGGCCATGAGCCAAGGGTCCTTGAGCACCATGCACGCTGTCACCGCGCGGTACGGCACTGGCCATTACTCATCTCCCAAACCCTTCCGGCTACTGCCCAAGTCTCTGGCACAGGCACCATTCCCACAGAAACCGTGGTTTTGCGCTGCATGGGACCCGGAGCTGGGACATCTCGCATTGTCCTATCCTTCATCGGGGAATGAAGCCGTGGTTTATCGAGGCCGGTACCTGGAACCGTCAATCTTCCACCCGGACTTGGTCTATCACGAATACGCGCCTGTCAGCTCAAAAGCCGCGGCGGTCGGGGTATACCTGGCCAACAAATTAGGCATCGTCATACTAGGTAGCTTGCCTACAAACGTCTTGCGTTCGTTGATGAAGCTGGAGCCGGTGACGCCTGAATCGGGCATCGTGAGACAGGACGAGTCTTTAGACCTCCGCACGGTGGCACGAGGCGACAAGAACGCCAAGGACTTCAACGACAAAGCAATCGTGAGGGCGGATTGGCATTATGATGGTAATATGTATTATCATTCCGCAGTCCTGGCCGTGGAGGCGTCGGCCGTGTTGTTGGATCTGTGGGGGCTGGATTTTGGGTCCAGCACTGGGCCAGGGAAGCCAGGCTTCGGCTTCCTCGTCCCGGGGTGTCTTGGGGATTCTTTCGTGAAGAGACTGAAGAAGGTGGATGGCCTGACGATTGAGGTGTCGTAAATAAAGTATATACAACTGCCTTGTTTAATACCTCGATCGAGACTTGGGACTTGAGTTGACGACCAGTTAGATACGGAGATACGGGTGCTCGCTTACCCGTCTTGGCGTTAGATATCGAACTGATTCTGCAAAGTCGCAAACTAGTGGAACATAGAACTCTTTGATGTTAGTACTAAGTAGTCAACTCCCATCCAACAACATGCCGGGCCTCCTTCATACGTCGAATTGGGTGGATGGCGTCCATGCTATTCCCTCCACCGACCGAATACAGGTCATCAACCCCGCCACCGAGTCAACGATAGGCACGGTAGACGCCACATCGCGAGAGGTTGTCGACGCAATCATCAACGACTCTTTGCGCTCGTTCCGCCAAGGCAAATGGTCCCGTGCAGACGCGTCGGAAAGATTCTCTGTTCTGTCCAAGGCGGCAGTGCTGCTGCGGTCACGGATCCCAGAGTTCGTGGAGCTGGAGACACGCCAGACAGGCCGGCCTATCCGTGAGATGCGTGCCCAGTTGGCACGTATACCGGAGTGGCTGGAATATTTTGCGTCGCTGGCTCGTGTCCACGAGGGACGGGTCACACCCTTCAAGGGACCGGTCATCAATACCCTCACACGCCTGCCGCTGGGCGTGGTGGTGCAGATCACGCCCTGGAATCATCCTCTTCTGATAGCAACCAAGAAGATCGCTGCCGCGCTCGCCGCGGGGAATGTGGTGGTGGTGAAACCCTCCGAGCTGGCACCGTTGTCGGTTCTAAGGCTCGGCGCCTTGTTCCAGGAGGCCGGACTACCAGATGGGACGTTGCAGATCGTGTGTGGCTACGGCCGCGACACGGGCAGGTTCTTGTGCGAGAACCCGTTGGTGGCCAAGATTGACTTGACCGGAGGGATCGCCACGTACAGGGCCATTGCTTCGAAGGCCGGCGAGAACATGATCCCCATCACGGCCGAGCTTGGTGGGAAAGCCCCGGTATGTCTTCTCCCAAGTGTAGACGTCGAGCACGCCGTCAGAGCTGCGCTGTTTGCCAGTTTCATCGCAAGTGGGCAGACGTGCGTGACGGGAAGTCGGCTACTTGTGCACAAGGACATCTATGATCGCATCGCAGAGTTGTTGGAGAAGAGAGTCAGAGCCCTGCGGGTAGGCGATCCGCAGGACCCGCAGACACAGATCGGGGCCGTCATCTCGCAGGCGTCTCAGGCGAGATGCGCCGCATTCGTGGACCGTGCCGTCAAGGATGGCGGCAAGGTTCTCTGCGGGGGCAACGCAACGACCGTGGCGGGGAAGGGGTTCTTTTTCGAGCCCACCATTATCGAAACACATCATGGCTCCGACCTCTCATGCAACGAGGTCTTCGGCCCGGTGATTGCGCTCGTCAAATGTGAGTCGGAGGAGGACATCATTCGCGTTGCTAATGACAGCCCTTTTGCCTTGGGAGCGTCGGTCTGGACAAACGACATCTCACAGGCACACCGGATGGCGGAGAAGATCGAGGCCGGCATTGTCTGGATCAACGGACACCACCTCAATGACCCTTCGTCGCCCTGGGGAGGATTCAAGGAGAGTGGCATGGGAAAGGAGAACGGCGTCGAAGCCTACGAGAGCTATACAAAGGTCAAGAGCACCGTCATCAACTATGGTATTCCACCTGCGTGGTTCGACGAAGAGGTTGAGAATGCACGGTATGGGTGATGATGTTCTTGTTTGGCCTTGGATAACGGACATGCGTGACCTTTAACTAGACTCGATGGCATACATACACTTGGAGTCACGGGCTCTTGGCTTGTACGACCATGCAAGAGGTCAGCCTAGAACTTGAACCCGACTTCAGTCGACGCATCTTCACTGCGCTTCATGTACTTCCTTGGCTCCTACGTCTTGACTAGCTCTTCTCCGTACGCATATTTATTCTGACACAGTCACTCGTCAATGGACATGGCCCTCCTCGGTCGAGGAGCCAACGGTACCGTGTACCAATTGACCCCCGTTATTGCGGTCAAGGTCGCACGTACCGGGCTCTACGAGGAGACAGATCATCTCCACGAGCAAAAGGTTTTCGAGTTGCTGAAAAAGCAAGACCGAGCAATACCTTTTCTGGTTGAGGGTTTCTACCGGACACCGTTGAACACGTTCCTAGAGCTTGCCGACGAGGGAAGCGTGGCTCAGCATCTCAACCGGTATCAAGAGCGGCTCGGTCCGCAGGTTCTTCGAGTCACAGAGCACCTTGAACCTCTGACGATTCGACGGTGGATGGCACAGTTGTGTCTCGCGGCTGCGGGACTTGAGAGAATCGGTCTGACGCACGGAGACATTCACCCGCACAACATGCTCCTCGATAAAGAGTAGGACTTGAAACTGAGCGACTTCGACCGCGCCATAGGGATAGGAGAGGATATCCCAGTATTGACAGAGCCATTCGGGCGACGTCTGCACGATGGGGAGGACGGCGTCAGTGGTACTTATGGCAAATCGGGTGCGCACACAGAAACCTTTGCCATCGGATCTGTATTCTATACCCTCCTACGTGGACACGAGCCGTATGAGGCCGAACGATGGGGGCGTGACCACGATATTATCCTGATGGACAAGTTCGAGAACAAAGAATTCCCGCCTCTTGACGATACGAGGGAGGATGGTATTATACAGAAGTGCTGGAACAGAGGATACAGCCAGGTTCAAGAACTGTTGGGGGAGTTTCCACAGATCGACAGGCGTGACAGGAGAATTGATGATCATACACGCTCGATTCGAAAGCGGGAATGTGAGCAATGGATTGAGAGCGAAGTGGTGGACACATTGGAACGGCATTAGCGATGGCTTTTATAACCACGGCATGGACGACCCCCAGGCACATGTTGGACCTTATTTGTCCTTTGATGTCGAGCAGCCAGAGCCCCAGGTAGATTCCCCGTTGTCTTCGTGAGTGCTGTCATGGCTTCAAGTAGAGAGAGATTGGACCAGAGAAACCACGATGGTCGATGGGATAGTAGAGCGATCGAAAGAGGGACGAGGCGACAGATGTCGACGTTCAACTTCATCGGTTCTCTTCCTTCTCACCACTCGAGTACCGGCACGAAAGACACTGCGACCCCCCCTGACAACGACGGGAGATGTTGTCGAACTCGAGAGAACGACACTTGATGCGTGTCCAGACGATTGAAAGATGAGGTTCACGACGATACAGGTTCCGGGATACCTATACCAGTCAGGTAGTGCAATGCAAAACGCTGTCGCTGAAATGCATTGCCTCTGCGGCCTCGGCAATGAGGGGGACCACCAACTGGGGCTGTGGACACACGGAATCACCCATCGACACTGAGGGCTGTCTGGATCACATTTTGCTCCATGAATCAACTATCATTTGCTTCCGCAGGCACGACAAGACCCTCAAGCACATGTCTTTTTGTTCCATGGTCCATCGAGGTGATTCGAGACTCGACATTTCTCGCACCTGTTTCCGTCCATCAAATTCCTGCTGAGGCCACGAACCCGAAGGTAAGTGACGGAGTAAACACGCCACTGATTTTAAACACCCAACAACAGCTCGATGGCTTCTCCAACGACCGAGTCAGTTTCGCGCGATCGATTCATCTTTGTGTTGCCAATGTCGAAGAAAACTCTCTGGCATGCCTACTAACAGATGATTAGCACAAGTAGGTGACCGATTTCGCCTGCCGGGGCGCTGCTAGACCCATCGCCAACCCCTCCCACGCGACGGGCCTTGCCTTTCACCGACTCCAAAGCCTTCGAGCCAATGCACGCCCTAAGAGTCTCGACGGGACTGGTGAGCACGCTTGCTTTGCTGTCCGCACACGTGGCACAACAAATCGGTCAAATGCTACAACTAGTGAATGGGGGGGCCCAGTCTGGAAGAGGAGGTGAAGAAGTGATACCCGGTTGTCATCGAGGTATATAAATGCCCGGAGGTCATCACCTATTGGGAGGAGCTATGTAACCACTCCCCCCAATCGCCTGCCCGGGTGCCGCCGGGGTTGGAAACATGGCTAAGGTGCTGTCCCCGGCTCGAGCGGCCGTCTGCTTCATTACCGTCCTACAAGTCCTGTTGTCTTTCTCGTCATTGTCCCCCAACAACGGCGATTTCCACCACGGTTCTGGTCTTCACCTCTACCAAGACACGCGGTCGGTGTCGGCGAGTTCAGCACCACTGGGAAGGGGCTTCATGATGGCAGAGGCCCATCCTTTCCCACACGAATGTGTCAATAGCACGACCGAGGCGACTCGATCTTTCATCGAGTCCCTGTTCACGGCTGTTGCACTAGACAACTTTGGCACCTCGTTTGCTGCCGCGCTGTCCGATGACCTCGTGTGGACGGTCACCGGAAGCAGTCCCATCGCAGGCACGTACAGCGGCAAACAGGTCTACATCGACAAAGTCCTCACGCCATTGCGGGACGTGTTAGTGATCCTTCCCGTACCGATTGTCGAGCACATCTTCGTCGACGGGGACTGGGCCACGGTGAACTGGCGGAGTGAAGGTGTGTTTGGCAAGAATGGTGCGAACTACGACATGCAGTATGCGTGGTTGATGAGGACGGAATTGGACGACACGGATGCCAGGAAGATTGTCGAGGTCATTGGCTTCTATGACAGCGTCAAGGTCAATGCTGTCTTTGAAGGGTATGTCTTCAACACCACAAAGGCATGAGATGCGGCTGTGGGAGGAGCTTTGCCATCAGCATATATGCGTCCACGCACATGGAGGAATACGAATATTTGGGAATTTGGTGGTAATATCTTGGTTTGACGAAACGAGCGCCGCACCTTGGAATGGATAGCAGGTGCAAGAAGTGTAAAAGTGTCTGTTGACAAAGACATTAAACACGAACACGGCCCCTACAGCGCCATTGGGCCCAAGTCTCATTTGTTTCAACGGGGCAAACCCTGAGCGAGGGGAGGGAAAGTGTACAGCGCCCTCGATCCCAGGAGAGACATGACATGGAAAAAAAAATTATCAGCTGGAAAGGGATCGACTATTTAGCAACAATCAACACAACAACAACAGCCTCTGCGGCAACAATTTTTCCTTTGTTATGGGGGATTTGCATCGACCCAAGAACCAGATTAGTATATATTGTTAATGTTTTGGACAAACGAATCAACGACATTTTCAAATGCCCGGCCTGATTTGCCTTCCAAGTGCTCTAAAAATTCTCACCACGTTCTAACCATTACCGAGGAACTCGAGAGAGGAGGGGTATCTATCACTTGCATAGAATTCCGAATCCACCGACCGACACCTTATTGATGCTTTCTATCGTCCCATGTAGTCCCCTTGCCCTACCTAGTAATCCTTCTGGGCATATTTACTCCTCATCCTCAACCGCTCACCGTACTGTTTGTGGATTTGTTCAGCATACATTCATTTGTGATGGCCAAGACTCTGCCGAATCTAGGCTTCAGGGACGGAGGGAACAAACTCACCTTGAACAAGAAGAACGGGATCGGAATAAACGCAATGGCGAGAAATCCCAGGGTCGAACTGGCCCAGCCGACGCCCAGGTTCTTGTACATGGCCGAGGCGAAGAGGGGGAAGCCGGCGCCAAAGGTTGACCGGAAAAAGTCGTTTCCCGCCAACACGCTGGCGGCGTACGCCGGGTACGCGTCGGCCAGGTAATTGAGGACGGAGTTGAAGAGGAGGAAGGCTCCGATGGAGAACCAGGCGGTGCCGATGATGGGGACGATCCAGTGGATGTCCGGGCGGGCGGACCAGCCAAACCAGAACAGGCAGATGGGGATGGCGAAGGCGCCGACGAAGGACGGTGGGAGGCGCCACTCGGGCTGCAGGTCGCCCTTGTCGTTGAACTTGGGCTCGATGTATTTCCGCTGGTACCAGATGAAGGGCGGGAGCGTGAGCAGGACGCCGATCAGGATGCCCAGGAACGCCGTGCCCTCGAGACCCAGGCTGAAGCCGTAGATGCCGCTGAAGACGATGGGGAAACTCTCGAACCAGATGTACAGCAGGCCGTAGATGAGCGCGATGTACATGTTCAGCAGGAACACCATCGGCTCGGTAAAACACAGGAGGAACGGCCGGACGAGGGTCATCATGGCGATCTCCCTCGGCGTCATTTGTTCGCCGATCAGTTGCGGCTCGCACATGAGTTTCGAGTTGCCTGTCAATTTGCGGAGGCGCATCGTGCGTCGGTAGAGGATGTTGGGCGAAGACGTCTCGGGCATCAGAAATATCAAGAGGACCAGAGTGAACCCGGAGAGCCACATGAGCTCCCAAATCGTCCAGGTCCATCCTTTGGATTCTGCCGCGAAGCCCCCGACGAGTGGGCCCTACATTTGTATTGTCAGCGTAAAGGAAGACTGAACGGACGACAACATTGCTTGGTCGAGCGTCAAAGAAGGTCCTGAAATAGAGGATCAACTCACCATGGTGGGTCCACACACGGCTCCAATGCCCCATACAGCCATGCCATATGTTCTCTTTGCTGGAGAATACATGTCCCCAATCGTGGCGCCTCCAGTAGCGAGGGGTGGAGAACCCACAAAGCCCGTGATGAAACGGAACGCCATTAGCATGCCAAAGTTGGTTGCCAACGCTGTTGGAACCTGCAGGATGACAAAGAGTGCGAGAGTACCGATATAAATCGGGCCTCTTCCAGTCTGTGGCAGCTCCGATAAAGGGCTTAGGAACATTGGACCAACTCCATATCCCAGTACGAACAGAGTGAGCCCTAGCGTGGCGGCGACACGACTGACTCCGAACTCGTTGCTCACGTCCAGGATACCAGCCGTATAGATCGAAGACCCAATATAGACGGAAAAGGTCAACAGGCAGATCTCAAAGGTAACCCATACCTTCTTGACACTCCCCCAGTTTCGGGGATTCTCCGAATCGTCGGGACCGTACCAATCCACAATGTGTGCATCTCGGCCCTTTTCAGGGTCAATTATTGTGCCACTAACGGTGTTGACCAGGACATTTTCGAACTCGTTGGCTGTTGCAGCTGAGCCTGAAGAGCGGCGAGAGGGTCCCCGATGATTGGAATCAGCGTCCTGAGCGGCGGACGGCAGATCTAATTGTTCCTTCGCTTCTTCTGGGAGTATGCTCCGATCGTGATTTGATGGCACATCTTGTTGCTGTTCTTCTTCTGTGGGAGGTGTAGGTGGATCCGACGAAGACGCACTGGGAAGTTCTTTCTCTGGTTCAGGTGTGACCGTGCTGCCATGGACAGCCATGTTGGCTGATTTCTCGACGTTGAGGTATCTCTGCCATAGCGATGGATCTCGCTCCTCGGGATATTGGAGAATCCTATTTCCTGTAACGAGCCGCAATATTTGCCCAGCAACCGTATCCCGAAAGAGATCCTCCATGTTTGTTAGAAGTCAAGTCAAGGACCCAAAATCAGAGTATGTGTCTGGAGCAAAAAAGTGTTGCCTGGGGGAGACGAATCACATTTAAAAGACGTCATTAACGATTGTCATAGCCTTGAGGCGTCATGATAGATTCGGAGTTTGTAGCGTATCTGCGCGCCAACACGACTATCAATGGGTATCCAGCCGAGCAGCCGGCATCCTGAGAAGGGTATCATAGAGCGAGAAATATGCTGCCAACTATGTGATTGCATCGGCATGTGCAGTATCCGGGATCGAGAGGCCGACAAAGATAAAGGGGATCGTGCATTCGGTGATCATTCATTCGAGTCTATGACGCGAGAGTGGAGATCAGGAGTTGTATCGCAGCCTTTCGACCCGCAGCCTCGCACGTGTTCGGGGAGTGCAGATCCCATTTCCACCAAACGTTTTGTCAGCGACTCGGATTGTTCTGGTCCCGACTTTCTGATCCTCATAAGTGCCCGGGGACCAACCATGCCTTGGCAAGCTCTTTGTGAATAATCACAAACTCACATGTCTCCGACAGCGCAGGTCGCCTGAAACAAATGACTCGAATGTTGCTCTGGACCCTCTCGTTCGAATGGTGCCCCTGGGTCTGGCAAGAATAGACTTTTTCGCTCGGTAGCCGCCCAGATGTATTGAACCCCCGGGTTTGGCTGTCTGCGTACTCCTGGACTCCACTTTGATGCTACATATGTAGACATCCGGAGGTATGGAGACAACTGCCTCCGCTCAGGATCCTGCGGTCTGTGTACGATTTGTATTGCTTACTGTCGCATTCCGAAAGCATAGGCAGAACTAGGTGTCTGATATGGTGCTCTTATGTGTCGATAAGTTTCGCCTGATTTCTTGGGAGAACCTTGCGATGGCAAAGGAATGCCTCGAAGTAGTAGCGACCGGTGGACTGCTGTGTCTTTGGTGGTGTTTGTGAAAAGGCACAGATGCCTTCGGGATGCTGACTCTGACTCAGAACGGCCATGGCAGTGTAGTAAAGTTTTAACCCTGTTGCACTTCAGGTGAATTTGTCACAAATGCATTCCGTCCTCGTTGTTATCATCGTCGTCGCCTCCGAGCCGATCCATCATCTGCCGCCGCAATTCCTCGTCGGTCAGTCTGCCCCCTCCGTTCCTGGTTTCTGTTGTGCTTGTTCCAGCCTCTGTTCCAGCCTCCTCTGACACCCCGTTCGACTTCCCGTTTGTGTCTGCTTCGTGCCACTTCCCTCCTCTTCTCTCCACCTCGCGCTTCAACAGCTCTACTCTCTCCCTCTGCCGACCGATCACAATCTGGTTCTCTTGAATTGCATCCGAGCAGTCTTTGTCCCCCTCCTGTCTCGTGCTCTCTGGAATGCTTTGGTCTGACTTGATACTATCGATATATTCTTGAAGCTGTTTATTTGAGCGCTCGAGGTGGGCGATGGAGCTTTCGATTTCCTGAGCCTTGGAGTACAAGTTCTCGGCGGGAAGGTCTTGTATGGCTAGAGCGAAACGTTCCGCGGAGATGGGCTGGGCTTCGGCCGACATTTTCTTGGAGCGTCAGGTGTATCTAGGATAGAGCGGTTTGTAAAGAGAGGTCACAGAAGGTAGTCAGTCACAGAGATCTGCTATGGTAGTTGAGATCTGACAGTTGTGGTCGTGTTTACGAGGTACTGTGAGGCAAACAGTGAGGAGAAAGTGAACCCCGCTCTGGTTTTCCCCCCTGCCATGCTCGCTTCTGAACGCGCTACGCAGGCATCCGTCTCCCCATATAGCTCTGACTTCAACACGTATCTTCAACATAAGTCCCTCCTATATTTTGGCGTATAGACCGGCTAGTTGAGAATGTGAAGGCCTGATCTCTTCCAACGCCAAAAGTGTAACTCGTGTGGATACAAGGAAACAGTGTACATATACAGGATGTGTCCAAGGTCCGCACTGCAATCCAGCAATGCACCTACTGATATACCTCGTTGATAGCTCGATTGCTGATATACCCAACCTGGACAACGACAGAGGGCCCAAAATCATGCTCGCCATCCCTGCACGAACTCATGCAGTCTATCGATGACGACCCCAAAAACAGCATTGACACTATCCGCCAACACCTGATCTAGAGCCCTTACCGCCTCTTCTTCACTGACATCAAGATTAAATCGTTCCCTTACTTTGCCTACAGCGCCGCCCATACCCCCCATCTGTTCCTCCATCAGCCTAATATCCGTGACAGAGCTCTGAACCATCAGACTGAACAAGTTCAGCACCAAGGAGCTGGACTTGCGCAGGGTCGTATAGGCTGTGAAGCAGAATTGTTTGAACTGGGCGTACTGTGGTGACGCGGTGCCACCCAGTCCTTCCACCATTTCTTTGCACAATTTGATGAGTGGTGCAAAAGGCTTCGGATCACGTCCAAGAATGAAGCCAAAGTCGATGTGGAAGAAGTGGCCCGAGGGTTGAAGCAAGAGATTGTCGAGGTGGCGGTCTCCGACCCCCAGAATGTACGTGATCACACAGTATCCAGCACACGATCTTATGTATGTATCCATCGTCTCCTTGCGGACACCAAGGGGTCCTGATGCGTCAGGATTGTTGGCACGTAGATACGCTAGCACCGACCCCTTGTATTTCGCCGAGATCACTGAAAGCGCAGTGGATGGTATGAACTGGACAGCGCCAGCGGATGGCGAGGTTGCGAGGATACGGTAGGGAGTCAGTTTCAGGTCAAGATTCTCCTTGAGCAGGAGATTGTTCATCAGTGTGATAATCTGAATAACAAGCTGATCTTGCCGCAAATCATCGCCCGTCTTGAAAATGATGGGGTATTTGCCGTGTGTCTGCGTTCGCTGTGACGACGCACTCGAACTTTCAGCGGCGCTCGCGACCTTGAAATTCAGGTACAATGGTGACAGTGACGACTTGAAGACATTGGCCTCGTCGGGGTAGATTCCACACACTTGAACCTCAGGGTCAAGGGGGAGCGGTATTGGTGGCTCGATTTTGACAAGTTCATTCTTGGGATCAGCCAGTGTCTTCTTAAGCAACTCGATCTTTTGTATGCGGTTGGTCCTGCTGAACCGGATCTCCTTGCTGATACTTGACAAGATGGTGATCAGTTCACCTTGTCTCAACAGCGTCTTGCGTAAACTCGGATCACGCTTTTCTAGCTGCACCATAAAGTAGTATTCCACTCTTGCAAACACTGCACGGTTTGCGGCGCTCGTGTCACTGCCTTGGTCAACACATTCAACCATGAGGAACCAGTGCAGGTGGTTGCCTAGCATAAAATTATTGGCAGCACGGTCGATCAGAAATTTGGCTAGTGACGACGCTGGAAGCCCTTCCTCGGTACTCTCATACTTTTCAAATTTCAGGGCTTGGACGAGTTGAAGGAGGTATAACTGCAGTTCAGCGTCCCCAGCTTGTCGGAGTCGGTCAACAGCATATGCCCGGACGACTGGGTTGTCATAAGTCGGACCAAGCAATTCGAGAGCTGCATCAACATCGATCTTGGCCCACCTAGGGATCAATTCAACAAGTTGACGGACCTCGTTTGGATTCGTGAAATCGGTTGCTTTGACGACCTTGGTCAGAGCTCGTTTATCACGGCTCAGGTGCCGTCGGAATGTCCAGATGACATCTTTGTCTTGGGCACTCAGCTCTTGTGTTGGTCCATACGACAGAATCTCATTGAGTTCATCCCTCATTTTGGCATTCGGCTTTTGATCGCTATCGGAAAATGCATTCCTGTCGCTTCGGACTAGTCGCCGATGTTTGCTCTCACAAGGGTTTTCCCGTTGAAACTGCTCGGGGTCAAAGATCTGGACGACTGGGAAATCCTCGTCATCCGCCACAGATGTGCCTGGAGCGATGCCTGGACCATATCTGACTTCTGGTGGAGGTTTTGCGCCTACGGCTGAAGCCGAAGGAGTGTTTTGAAATTCTTTCATCATCTTTGATGGTTCATACCCATAATCTTCAAATATGATAGGGAAGTCCCACCGCGGGAAGTCGACATAAAGAGTGAAACGTTCTTCGTCGTCTGTGTTGTCGTCAGAATCGTCGTCAACATCAAGCTCGGCGTGTCCGTTTGCAGTCTCATTCAATCCCTTAGGTAACATTTGCGCCGACTTGCGCTTCGATGGCTTATTGGCCGAGGAGCGTTTCCGTGCAGCTTCCTCGACTTCACGGGCTTTCTTGCCAACATTCTGAAAGACCAGGTGATCTAGCCAGTCGTTCTGGGGGATCTCATTCATTTCATGTTTTTTGAAAAGCTGCTCCAGTCTTTCGAGCTCTTCCTCCTCCGGTATAGCGGGAGGGGGTTGCTCATTGGGCTTTCGACGTTTTGGGCGGGGAATGTGTGGCGTTCTTGACGGTGACTGACCATCAGCGGGTCTCCGGCGGTATACTTTGCATTTCTGGCGACCCTTCCGCAAAGTGCCATCTCGGTCGAACAATGGAATGGTCGTGCCGCCGAACGGCACAGCGTGGTCAATACTGCCGTTCTCTGGACATGGCGAGATATCCCACACAGTGATGGCAACTTGAGAGGAGGCGGGACAGTCCTTGACCAGAACAGGTAACTCCAGCCACTTATTCCAGGTTCTGTTGTTCTTGAAGAATGTATGTGGTGTTTGCAAGGAGACTCCTAACGGCTTGGATTCAGCCCATAGCTGAGCAGTCACATAAAGCTCTGAATTCGGACTTTGGACTGATCCAACGTGGCGTATTTCTGGGTGTTTCAAGAGAACAGTGTACGGGAAGGAGTGTTGTTTGCCCTCCAATGTATTGCTAGATACAAGGAATTAGTACAAAGGACCTGTTATCGGTCTAGAATTGACGGCAATGAGCAGGTAAGAATGAGAACCGATTAAGCCAGACACTCACATTCTGACACAGACGGGAAAGTCTATCTGGCGAGAGGTCGCAAAGGTGTAAGTATCCATGATGGAGCGCCAGAGAAGCCACTAGCCATGGTTTCTAAGAAGTAGCAACAGATATGTCAATGTGTACCATCTGTAGATGGTTCGATTGTTGCTAGTTGACAGAGTGAAGCCTGATGGATGAACAAGGCGGGCGTCCCTGGGGAAGGCTGTTACGCTAACCTACATTGGATTAGCGTATCTTTCGAACGCGTTGAGGTTGAGGATCAGGTAGCCGCGTCTCGTGGAGCCTCGTGCCTTGTCCTCGTCCCTCCCAATGTCCAAGGTCTTCGCCCATTACCTCGCTTCATACCCCTTCTATCGTTTATAGACCTGTGGTTGGTGTAGTGTGCTTTGTATCGTGAAGGCGTGGAGGAGAATCCTCTCGCATTACTTTCTCTCAAAGTTTAGGCTGCCCCTCGCCCACCCACCGAGTCCAATCCTTAGCGATTCGTCGCACGGCCCTTCTGGCCTCGCCCTTGCGGAATGCGCCAACCATGGCCCGTCTAAACACCCAAGCTATCTCGACTGATCCTGACAACGAGATCCTCCCGACCTCCCCAGACAGTGATACAGCTACATCGCATGCACCCCAGTCAACCATTCAGACGGACGACTCCGATAAAGAGAACGAGCATCATACCGCGGGGAATCACAAGAAGAGGAAGAGTGCTACAGTCAATATGTCAGAGAGGACTCCTGCCGACTCTCGGAAGCGAAGGAGAACAGATGTAGAGGAATCACAGACTCCTTCCGCCCAACAATACTATGATCCCGATCAAGATCCCGAAGAACGACGCCAGGTCCGCAAGGGTCTGCGCAGTCTTTACGCGGAGCTCCACGACTCCAGTACTGAATACCTTCAACCTGACTCGAATGGCCTCGAAGAGACACTCATAAGATTGGACGGAATTTACAAGAATGTCAAGCAAACTTCAGAGGCCACTATTGATTCGCGATTACTCGTCAAAACTGCAGACCTGTCTTACAGAAAGATCAACAATCTGACGCTGGGCGATGGGATGATTGGTGTTGACGTCGATGATTTCGTCACGAAATGTATCATGTTCATGAAACAGGGCAACGAACCCGAAACGGCGTATTTCGATGCGCCTACCAGCACTCAAACCCAGTCCCAACGGCGAAGGCGGCATCAGGACGCGGATGAAGAGGACGAAGGTGATACCATGAATTGGGAGTACTTGGGGAAGAATGCTTGTTTCCTGTACAACTCACGGCCTTGCCTGACCGGCTTTCTCCTTGGCCCTCTATCGGTTCAAAAGAAGATCCGGCAACAAACCCAGCGGAAAGCTCGTGAAGCTCGTACTGAGCCCACGCAAGCGGTGCGTCCGGTCGAGTTGGGCGACGAGGATCTGCAGAAGCAGGAATCAGCCAACCTCACTGAGATCTGCACCGAGATCGCACGTCTATTGGAGAAGAGTATGACTACAGGACAGGAAAATGCTGAGAGAGAAGTCAACGAAGTCGACGAGGTGCTTTCGGAACAGCAGACACGAGAGCTCCTACGGAGGAATGAAATAGCTGATAATGGCTGCGTGCCACTGTTCAACTTCTGTGTCAACCCGAAATCATTTGGACAAACAGTCGAGAATATGTTTTATGTGAGCT